TTATTAGTTATACTATGTTTTAGGATCATATATACTACTGTATATATGTATGTTGGTAAGCATATATCGTATACTACTTGTTTTTTTTTTTTTCTCTTCTATGTATATATGTATGTATGTATACATATATGTATATTGTTTTTTTTTCTCTCAATGTGATTATAAATGTATTTACTAAATCTTGAATTACTGTTTCTATTATCATCATATTATTATTATCATTATGTTAGATGTGCTTTGGTTATCTGTGCATTTTGCCAAAGTTTAGTGTTTCGTTTTTGAAATTAATGTAGATATAGCAGTTCCTGTTTAAGGAAAATGTGTATTTTTTCTCATTACAAATAATTTTATATGTATAGTAGTTAGAGAACATTGTCATTATGCTCTTCTGCAGAAATAGAATTTATGTTAGAAAGTAAGAAATGGCTGAATATCTGTGGAAAGTAATGCCCTCATCATCTAATTGGCAAAACAGTAGGAGATCCAGCCCAGCAAAATTCTGTCCCTAAAGATCTCGTCAAAGCGAGGCCACCTGCGAGTAAAACCGCTGGAGAGCGTAAGTTCTTGCATGCAACAACAGTGTGACTGGTTAATTCTCCGCTGTCAGTCCCCTGCGCTTGTCAACCAGTTGCTATCTTCCATGAGTAATGAGCTGCTCTTTTGCGACCCCATCCTGGTAGAGCAATGCTGCTGTACCTATAATGCTGTTTGTATATTGGTTGGGGTCTTCGCTGTGAAATGACCCAGTTTTGTAGGTCATTTTGGGTGAGTAGATGTTTCCATGAAATGATATTTTGGAAAAGGATGGTCACCTTGAAAGGAACTGGTCAGTTATATTGGAATTTTATACTGAAGAAAAAAGTTATTCTTGATATTTGTTTAAAGGTGGTTTGGTATTCTTAGTATTCTATTTCCGTTTTTCCTTTTACTTCTACTCTTTGTTGACCTTTTTCTTCTATTTCTTTTCCCTTCTTGTTTCTTTTGTATTTTTAAAATTAAACTTCCATCCTTTTTTTTTCCTTTGTTTCTGTTCTTTCAGTTTTTCTTCTCAGGCTCCTCTTCCTCTTGCTTTTCCTCTTCCTGTTCCATCCTCCTCCTCTTTGACTTTTGCACACATTTAGGCATACCACTTTCGGGATATTGACTTGAAATGCACAGCAGTCTTACGGTGGTTTGATAAGTACATGTTTATTGTAAAAAAAAAAAATAAAGACGAGTGAATTCAGGGCATTGAATGTGAGGGCATTGAGGGCATGTACACAAGTCAGCGTATTTAGCTGAAGTAGTCAATAGAACATGTAGAATTTGTCTAGATTGAATAGTGTAGGCATTTTGACCTTGTTTTATTCTGCATATTTACGCTTTGTATCAGGTATTTTCTATCATGTATGCATACTTTATCATCAGTTGTGTTTTTTCTTTATTAATGTTTCGGTTGCATATTTTGGAATTTGTGAATTTGAACATTATGAAAGAGTTGGTACTATAATTTGACACGTTTGGTTAGTTGTACTCGCAAACTACTTACAAGATTTAATGTAAATGCTTTTTGTAATCATGTTTCAGTCATTATTTTTGGTTTGAGTTAAATGTTTTCTACCAATTTTGTCCACATGTATGTCTCTACCATACTACACATTTTTTTCATCAACAAATTCTAAAGACTTCTAAAGACAATAATTTTACAACAAAGTGAAGTACTGTTTTTTTTCCCACAGAATAATGAATACATGCAGTCTGTTGGCCGATGCCTCCAAATGATGCTGCGTGTTGAGGAATATAGGACCATCTTCTATCAACTGGACGGTGTTGTTACCATCGTTCAGGTAAGTTCATGCTCACTTTTCGTCATCAGTTTGGGCTATGATGAAACGTACACTGGAGTTAGAGAAAAGTGTCTGTGTGTTTTAACCCACTGTCGACAGGAAAATGGTGTGTTACCTTTGGTAATGCTTAGTTAAATGTTTCTGCACATAGATGGCTCTGCCAGTGCTTGTCCCCAAAGCAGTCAACTAGTAGGTCGTGTGACTTTACTCTTCTTTGAAAAAGCGGGAAAATGCTTTTTTTTTTTTTTTTACTAATGCTATCAATATTGACTCTCTTATTTTTGTTTTAAACATTATAATTACTATAGTGTTATTTACATTACTAACAGCAGTATCAAATACTAGAAAATATTATCGAAAATCAAGGATAAGGGCAAACAGGTAAGACAAGTAGTTTGTGGAATTGGCTCATTGGTGACTGAGTACTTGTGGAGCCATCTATATGTAAAATCAATTACTAAATTCAACACACACAATAGTCATGGCATGTTCATACATGTCATCCACGGCAGCATGCAGTTAATATGTTTTGGAAATGATAGGTATTAGAGAAATATAGTGTGCTAGATAGATATGGAAAGGTGCAAGGAGAGATAGGTCAGTGTTAATAGATAGAGGAAATAGACAGCAAACTATGAATGAATGATAAGAATAGTCAAATCAATGATATAGGCAGAGGGTAAAAAGCCTGATTCAGCATAAATGTATAGAGAATATAATATGGTATATACGATATATAGATGTTAAAGTCAACTACTGGAAAGAGATACCCAATGAATAAACATTAACAGGTTACACAGACTGACACTTCAGGCATAGTTTTTGTTTTAAGGTATATTTACCGGAAAACCTTGCTTCTTTCAGGTCTTGAGTTCTGGCAAACTCAACTTCCAGATCCAGTACCAGCTGACCTTCTGCCTGTGGGTTATGACCTTTAACAATGCCATTGCTGAGAAGATGAACAAGTAAGCATTCATTTACTTGTTATCATTTTTCTTTTTTTCCTCCACATTGCAAACCAGTGTGTGCTTTTGTGTTATAGGGGCAGGGGAAGTCACAGAGGTTTCTCATGTCTTTTGAAGGGTTATATGTATTTATGATTAAACTCTGTATGCCATTGTTTTACTAAAAAAAAAAAAAAAAAAAGACATTTTTAATCCATTTTCTGTATTGCTTATCTAGGTACAGTGTCATCCCAACCCTGGCTGACATTCTGAGTGAGAGTGTCAAGGAGAAGGTGACACGCATCACTCTTGCTGTGTTCAGGAACCTCATTGAGAAGCCTGAGGATCCTGCCATTGCTCGGGAAAACTCCATACAGATGGTTCAGTGCAAGGTGAGGCTTTTACTTTTTATTTTTTATTTTTGTTGCTTTGTATGCATTTCTTTTTTATCATTATTGTTATTTATTCTTGTTGTTTGTTGACTCTGCTTAGTTTTTACCTCTACCAATGAGGGTATGTTTTTAGTGGTGTTTGTTAGTTGGTTAGAAGGATAACTCAAAAAGTTATGAACAGATTTTTATTAAATTTTAACCAGAGGTATGTCTTAGCAGAATTTAGTTGCTATCAAATTTTGGTGGTGATCCGGATCATGCTCTAGATCCTGTGCAAGATAACAAAAAGTAATGAACAGATTTTAATTAATTTTATTACCTGAGGTATGTCTAAAGTACAATTTAGTTGCCATTAAATTTTGGTGGTGATGTGGAATTTTTTAAAGGATTCATTAGCATTGTGAGATAGGGAAACATGGGCATCATCTTTGTACTTGATAAAGCGGAGATTTTAATGTAATTCTTCAATTGTGAATATTTTCATTATTACTTTTAACTCAGTCTCTTTAATAATTACCTTATAATTCAGGTGCTGAAGCAGCTTGAGATCTTAGCCCAGCGCAAGTTTGAAGATGAAGACATTACAGCAGACATAGAATTCCTGAACGAGAAGTTGCAGACATCTATACAGGATCTTAGGTGATTAGTAGTAATAATAGTATGAATTGTAATGACATTAGTTTTTCAGTTAAAGAATATGAAGTCACTTACAAAGTTATTTTTCTTAAGGATTGGAAATCTTTCAAAGATTTAGATGAGGTAATGCTCTTGTGTTTAAGTATATGTTGATTTAATAGTTCAAGAGCTGCAACCTATTCAAATTTTTTTTTTTTTTTTTTTTTTTTTTTTTTTTTTTTTTTAGAAAAAAATAGAACAGAATAAATGTAGTTTTAGCACTATTATATGGTTTTCCTTCAGAAATTATACAATTTACTTGCTTTTATGTTGTTAATTTTATATCAAGCAGTTAATCTAAGCCTCTTTGATCCTAAAGCTCTTTCGAAGAGTACTGCTCTGAGGTAAAGTCTGGACGCATGGAGTGGTCACCTGTCCATAAGAGTGAGAAGTTCTGGCGTGAGAATGCTGGACGTCTTAATGAGAAAAACTTTGAATTGCTCAAGATCCTCATTAATCTGCTGGAGACGAGCAACGACCCTCTGGTGCTGTCTGTTGCTTGCCATGACATCGGGGAATACACGAGACACTATAGCCGTGGCAAAAAGTGAGACCTCTCTCTCTCTTTTCTTTTTGATTTTGTGCAAGTTGATTATGAAAAGTGTAATATGATATAGAGGGATAAGTAATATTTATAGGAAATGTTTTGAGAATGTAAGGTTGAGTGAGTGAAACAATGAGGCACTGAGATGGATAATCATTGTTTGCAAGTTTAATAATATGATATAAATGTTTTAAACTTGTTATTATTTTCCAGGGTGCTTGAGCAGTTAGGGGGTAAGCAGTGGGTGATGCAACACCTAACTCACGCAGACCCTAATGTTCGTTATGAGGCTCTTCTTGCTGTTCAGAAGCTAATGGTTCACAATTGGTAAATATTCAGAATTATACTTTGTCATATCAATTATTTGTTCATATAAAAGGTATGGAAGGTCTGCTGATATGACATTATGGAGATAAAAAAAGTTTGAATTGGAACTCACCCTCTGGCCCAGGGCTATTGCCTGTTAGTGATAGTATTATCATGTTCAGCATACCTTTCATTTATATCAGAAGTGCATTTTTTTTTTGCATTTCTGTATTTTTAAAGTTATTATATATGTAGTTTATTGTCAATTTATTATATATTTTTGCTTTTCTGTGTTCATTACTTACAGTAAGGTTATATAGCAGTTACAATATTGTGTCTAAGACTGCAGTTTAGGTCAAGGACCAAAGTTTTAGAGATTTTACTTGCATCCGGCAGTACTTCATAGACAAGGATGAGGATAAAGTACATATAATTAATTTCTTCCCCCACTCAATCACCAGGGAGTACTTGGGCAAACAACTAGAGAAGGACGCGCAACAGAGTACCCCCAGGACGTGAGCATCAGCTATCACTGGTCTGTCAGCTGCACAACACCACATGCGGCCTGTAGCATGACCGACATGCTTCCTTCCGTGGTACTTGTCTTGTCAACATTCATGGCTGTAAAAAATGTTTGTTGATATGGGTCAATATTCTTTTATTTCTGTATAGTGTCCCTGTTACAACGTGTTGGATGTAATTGCTTTGACTTTAATATGTTGAAGAGAACTTTTAAGCAATTGTGGAACATTACTTTCATATTATCATTACCTATTATTTATTGTTATTAAAGCTAGACTGATATATAAGTGAAGGGAGATGAGTTTCTTAAATCAGACATTCCATAATATGTTTAAAGAGTAAAACTTATTTTTTATGGTTTTTAATAAATGTAGGAGTTAATAATAGAGATTCTTGATGTATTATTAGCTAAGATGTATTAATAAAAATGGTGTATAGATTGTAGTAGTACATGAACAATTAGATTGATATGTCGTAATTGTGATTAAATATGAGCCAATACTCCGGAATTATGGTTTAGCTCTCTTTGTTACATGTGCTATTGAGGTTGTATATAAATATACAGTTGTGCACAATGCTGTGTTAAGGGTGTTGTATATAAAAAGTTATTTCTGATGTTTTTCCTTTTATTTCTTTCCTAGGATAGAAAAGAAGAAACAGTTATGATAGTTCTATGTATTAAATGTTCTGCCATATAGAACTACACTATATAAGATGTATAGACTGCTTAATGCTGACTTTAGACTCTGTGTGTGAATATTAAAGGGACCTTAGTCTCCCAGTTGCTTTAGCTTTACTGCAGAAGAGTGGTTTCCAACTATTTTGTTCTTGCCCAAAAGTTATAATATTCATGATAAAAAATGAGGTAATGCATTATTCCATCTTTCAACATACTGAGTATTTAAGCAATATGTTCCCCCTCTCTAATCCCTTGCTCATTGTTGCTGGGTGTGGGGGGTAGGAGACAGAGAGTGAGGCCCAAATTAGGGGATTGCCCCTACTTTGGACCTCAGACCTAACCTCAACTGATTTTTCTCTCTTCTCCCCCTTTCCGTTCCCTTCTCTGCTTCATCCCCTTATTCTGTCAATTTCCTAAGGTGTGAGGACCATGCTAAAAGGATGAAAGGCTTGCTGTATGTCAATCTTGGTATACTATTCCTCCCAGAGGCCAGAGGAAGTCCCACACCAATATTGCCAAAATTAGCTTCAGTAGACAGGACCTCTTCCATAAAGTTTATATTGATAGTTTCATGTTAACATTTTTGCGACCCCGCCAAACACTGTCTTTCCACAGTCAGCTGCCCTCTATGTGCCCAACCTATTCATGACCGTTCAAATTACTCTGCTCAGTCACGCACATGTGACAACTGTGGTGGCTCCCATAATGTATTTTATAGAAGCTGCCCTGCCTGCATGCTCGAATGTGAAGTAGCAATTCTCAGATTCAAACCAGGCCTCACTCTACATGGGTCCAGACAGGAAGGATGCCAATGAAGATTTTCTCTTTCTACCTATTCCAAAACTGTACAAAACTGCTCCCCTCCCCTCCCACTTCACAAGATGTCTCAGCATATCCCCAGTATCTCCTCCCTCTATCCAGAACCATCTTATATCTACTCCTCTCCCCAGTCAAGTTCCTTTTCCAGTCTAAATCCAGATACTCCAATCTCTACCACTTCTCCAATGCCTACCCCACCTCACTCTACCTGTCGCACCAGGCAATGTAAACATTCCACCCCATCTACCATTACTCCTACACCCACCTCTCCCTCTGCTTCTATGACATCTATTCCCTTTTTGTCTTCTGCACAAGAAAATCTTTGTTTCTCAGAGCTCCTCGCCCAACTCCCCTAAAGAAACTCTTGAAATCCAAAATTTCCGAAACGACTAGAGAGAATGCCCTGCCCCCTCATCCAACGTCCAATCTCTCTATTCCTATTCCCTCAACATTCAAAGTAATTGCTGATATCCATTCTCCTCTTAAAGTTCCTTCCCCCTCTCCACCCTTCATCCCACTTTTCCTTAAAACACCTTATCCTCTTCCTCTCCATGTGCACCAGGAGTCCCTCTTCTTTCCCCATTATCATCACTCCCACCTGGATACTCATGACTTCCTTCTGTTGCAAAAGTGTCTGTATCCTTCCCCTCCTCTTATTCTTCTTGATACTGCACTATCTTCCTCTGTTCCCTTTTACCATTCTCTGGATTATTCTTCAACTACCATTTCTACCTGTATTACCCAATGATTGTTTCATAATGGCTCTTTTGCAGTTTTTGTCATTTGTGTTACTCTCCCTTCCTCAGACATAGATATTCTCCACTGGATCTAATCAGTATACCCTTAAGCCCTTCCATTTTTGCAAATCCCTGCCGTACTCTATATTCTCTCCTCTTTTTCCCCTTTCCCCTACCATTCTATCGTACAGTGCTCTATAACCATTGACATGTAATACCTTTAATCCCAAACATAAACTCATTTTTACCATTTCGCAGTAACATTTTAACATGGTGCCATGTGGCCTTTGATGTCTAGAACATTTATTTGTTTTAACTATTAACCATTGCACACTTTAGTAACAGCTCTCTAATGATTCATTCCCTATAGATATATAAAATGAAGTGAATTTATAGAACCAGCTCATAAGTTGGCACGAATATTTATAGTTAAAAAAAAACAAAAAAACTGAAGCCTATGTACTAGGACAGTATGACGTATGATATAAGACATGGCAGAAGGTGCTTGGTTACTATGCACCAATCAGAGATGGGCAGTATCGCGATACGTATTGATCGAAAATTTTGAATTGGCCTTAGCTACTTAATAACAGTATTGTTTTATCGTTATAGATAAAGTATATATCTCAAAATGTATAAAAAAAATGACAAATCGATAATTTCATACCTTTCGTCTGTTTGTCTCTCTCTCTCTCTCTCTCTCTCTCTCTCTCTCTCTCTCTCTCTCTCTCTCTCTCTCTCTCTCTCTCTCTCTCTCTCTCTCTCTCTCTCTCTCTCTTTTCATTCTTATTTCTTTATCCCTCTCCTTTACTTTCTGTTTCTCTTTCTATTTGTGTGTGTGTGTGTGTGTGTGTGTGTGTGTGTGTGTGTGTGTGTGTGTGTGTGTGTGTGTGTGTGTGTGTGTGTGTGTGTGTGTGTGTGTGTGTGTGTAATGTGTGTGTAACTATAATGAAAACAGCCAAAATAAGTTATGAAAATAAACAAAACGTTTCGAATTATTCGTTTCTCTCCAGACAAATAATAAACCGAAATGAGAATTTTGATGTGTATATAACGCAAGTAACCTCAGTATTTGAACACATACTCTCACTTTTGTAAAGACGATTTTCAATACAGACAGTGGCTAGCTGCTGGAAAAGGAAATGCTTAGCCGTGAGGAAATTTAAATTAAATATCTGCACATGTAACCATTCCACGAATGCTCTTGTTGGTGCATTGAAATTGATGGAAAAAAAAGTGTGTTTTTCTACCCTGCCATTATAGATAATTTCTTTTTTCATTCCTGTAATAGATAGGAAACTCCATGTGAGGTTATTCCTTGGCTCTACATTTTTTTTTTTATTCCTTAGGCTGTATCGGCTAAAAATGAAATAATGAAAGGCATAGTCAGTAGAAAGGCCCTGTGAATGCTGAAATATATAGTGATAACAAGGGGACAAGCGTCCTTATTGCATAGATTTGTCCTTTGAAACTTTACATACTTCAGAAAAGTTAACAAATGACATGTAGGAGGCCACTCATTTTGGGTAGAGGAGATGGAGACTGGGGCCCAGTGCAGGGGATCACCTCAACCTTGAACTCACCTTTGCCTCATGATTTTGCATGGTCTTTACTTCACCCCTGTTCCTTTTCCTTCTCTTCATCTTCCCCCTCTGTCCACATGCTAATGTGTGCTGAAAGAATGAAAGGCTAGCTTTGTGCCATCCCTGGATACTTCGCATTAGTTTGTGAAGAAAGAAAACAATGGTGCAAATTCCATGCAGAGAAAAAAAAAAAAAAAATCGTCCGCCATTTTTAGCACTTTAAAATGGCGTACATGATGACCTTTCCTTGTCTGGGGACTTCGCCCTCAAACTTCACCTTATAGCTGTATTTTGGATATGCCACTAATAACCTTAGGTGTTGATGTGACAGACCATTTTCAATGGCAGAATTGTTGGTGTCTTAGCCACCCTACTGAACACTGCTGTTCCACAGCCTGATGCTCGCTCACACCCTCCCAACACAACCCATTCTACTCAGCTCCAACAACACCTACTTTAATCCTCCCTCCATTCCCTCAATCCCTTCCACTCCCTCGTGGGTATACACGTGAATCCCTTATGTCATATTTATGCTCTTTCCCAGATCCTCCTGATACTACAACCCCCCTCCTACATTGGAATATTCGCGGTTTCCATTCGCAGGGCTCTGACCTTCGTCATATCCTTTGTTCCTATAATCCATCCATTATCTACTTTCTGCTTTGACAACCTGTTCTCCTTCCTCAGACGCATACATATCCTTCACCTGAAATAATCCCCTTACCTAAACCGCCATAACCCATTCACTCATCAACTCCTTTACCCATCTTTTAACCTTTCAAATTGACGCATAACAACTGTCACCCATCACCACCCTTTACTATACTTTCCTATAGCGCTGTATGGCCTTAGATGTCTAGCATGTTTATTTTGCTTTTAATCATTAACCATCAACCATTCAAAAGACTGTGGTTTAGGAACATGTGGCAGACCTCGTAGATGGAATGGCAAAGGCGTCATTTCAGCTTTCTCTTAGGGGAGAAGAGAGGAGGAGAAGAAAATTTGTGGAAAATGAGCTATAACCAGATCAAATAGCTAAATAGATATAATTCAGGCGGAGGCGGGGGCAAGTAAGACTTTGTGGGGAGGTCTTGGAAGGGGGGTGGAGACAAATTTGCCCCGCCTCCAATTGACGCTCCCGGTTCTTCACTTTGGGCTTTGACTTTGACTTTGACACGTTTATTGAGACAAGAGTAAGATTACATCTCAAAAGGATGAGGTAACAGGTTATCCTCACCATTACTTAATAAGTCCCTGTGCGGGCTCACAATTCATTATACAAAGCTTAGGTACAATAATATTTAAAATTAAATACAGCTCTTAAATCATAAAGAATTACAAGCATTACAAGAAGTCAGAGTCATTGGCTTACATATCTTTAAGGTGATATAACACTCCCACCCTCATCCAGATAAGTCCTCTCCTGGGCTTACATAATCAAATACAGCGCACAAAAAATATGCGCACGCAATATATAATTATAATCCCGGAGAAGAGATGAATCAGTTGTTGAGTGGAATTATTGTATTTCAGGAGAATGATGCCTAACATACGCCATTCATCAACAGTAAAGTAGGAGACATTATAGTCTCAGCAGGAGTAACAGCCTACATACCTATGCATATTTGCGAGGTATGTTTATGATATTGGTGCAAATTGCCTGTACCTCTTCAAAATCTCGAATACCTGACCGTTCCTAATCATCCATACAGCCTGTTCAGGTAAACCTGTTATCTCTGCATTTCTATGTGTCTGAAGCATAGAACACTGTAATATATAATGCGTCAATGTATGTGA